AGTAGAATTATCTGATTCTTTTTCCTTTCGTAGTAGCGTCATTTGGACGGAGCAACCACATTAAAAATCACAAAAGAAAAGTACATGAAAAGATAAGGAACAGTTGCTACCATTTTGTGTTTCTCCACCACTCTTGGAAATCCTATAAGATCTTGAGCGAAAACCCGTCGGCATATTATTGCAAACTTTTGCAATAACAGCATTTGCACTCACGCGAGAGTGTAAAGGGTTCAACTACAATATATGCAAAAGTTACTACACCGACAGATTGAAGACGAGCATCGGATACAACAAATCCACTTGGAACTTATACTTAGAAAAGACCAATCTCAAGAAAATATAACAATCAAATTTAAAAAAAGGCAACGAGATGAATAGCAGACCTATCCTAGCTTGCCCTCGTCCAAATGACATCTTGATATGGCTGATGTTTAGGAAAAAGAAAGAAAAAAAGTAGAAGTAAATAAACAATAATGAAAGGGAAGCAAAGTTCAAAAGTCTTAGTTTGGAAAATCTGAAGAATTTGGTTTATAGGGCTTACCATAGTCATAGAAGTGCAGGAGAAAGATACAAAGGAGGTTTCTGAGATTAAATTCTCGGATTCAGAACGGAGAAATATTTCTGGAAAAAAGAGATAAATGAAGTGTAAAGAATGCCATAGTTATTATTCAAACAGTTGTGTAAGCATGTTCAATAACGCTTTTGTGCAAACAAGACTTGTTTGAAAATTTATTGCTCGAATCAGACACAATAAAAGCACATAAACTACTGAGATAGTGTGAGAGAAAGGTATAGCAGGGAAAAGGAAAGAGCGATCATTTGTCCTTATATAAGGTCCATGCACATGTTTGTCCTATGCCCGCCATGCCAATAACCTTCCAACCTTCTTTTTCCAAAAGATTTAGGACTAAGCGAGGAGATAGAGGAGTAGAATACTCCTAAACATCATGTACTCCACATAGTGCACACCATGACTGTTGACAAGTGACTTGCCACAAACTCGTTTCCCAGCTGTTGAGATGGTTTAGCTTGTAACCTTCCCATCAAATCTATGTCACTGTCGCCATCTCCAACGTATGTTGGTCCAGCTTCAAGTCGAATTTGCGTAGATACCAGCATATACGGCATTCCGTTACGTGGAGAAGTGGCGTCAAACGAAAAACACAGGAAACTATGTGCAAAGGAGTAAACAAGTTGATAAGGAGTACCGCGTAACAGAACTTGTTCTTTTAGATTGAGGAGATATGGAACTTGCATGAAGAATACAAATCAACAACTATTCTTGCGTTGGACGAAAAAGAATATGAATATAATAGTAAAAGTGGCCAGAATTTCAAGTCTACAATTAAGCTCGAAATGTTTTCACATTTCAAAATGGGAGAAGAGAGATAGAAGTGTCATTAGGATAAGTAGTGAGAACATCTGAAACGTTTGTTCGGTGACACAAAAAAAGAGCTAAATAGAATTAAAGAAGAACAACAGGCTAAGCGAAAAAAAACGTAACAAAGAAAATCGAAACTTCTTACTTTAATTATTCCTCACCTAAGCATGGAGTGATGATTTGAAAAATAACGAGAAACTTGGAACTGGCACTTTGGATAGGACGTTATAAGACAGTTAGTTCTTAATATTGCAAGGATTCAGATTAAAATTTCTATATGCAATAGCTCGCAAAAGAAAGAGATCAAATGATGATTTTAGTAAGGTATAAAAAGGCGAGAAAGAAGAATTAGTGATTTATTCAAAGTGGACTGTTGTACATGTAATGAAATGTCTATAAGTGCAGTAATGTAGACCACTAACTTCGAAACCTACAACAAAAAATAAAGCGACCGAAATAATTACAAAGTACCAACAAAGAATAAAGGCAGGGATGTAGACATATAAATACGCCTTCGATACATAATTCA